CGCCCAGCCGCAGCACCCGGCCCCTGTGTGCCCACCCGGGGGGACCAGGGTGACGTACGAACCAAGACAAAGGAGTCGTGGGACTGAAAAACCTTACCAGAAATGAAGCTCGGTGTCTGGCTGCTGAGGTGGATTCTTTCAAAAGGGTGGAAAAAAATTTCAGGGGCTTTCCTCTATTGCAAAAGGCAGGACGGTGCAAGTAAAAGGTGGAGGAGATTTTCAGAGGAGTGCAGACAATAAAAAGGGTCAGAAAATCAGTCCTTAGAAGTCAGATGAGCTTTGCTGGCTCCTCTGTTGATTTTCCCCTTCTATTTAAAGCAATCTGGGGAAAACAAGGGACAAGAATTTTAAACACAAAAGGTTCCCATAATCCCAACAAATGCAGAAAGCAGGAAAGAAGAATGTAAATTCGCCAGGGACCTACCCAGGCAGATGAGACTGTCCTGTTTTATTCTAGAGGTATGTGGATGGATGTCTCTGATGAGGCTGGAAAAAAAAGCTCTGAAGGGTATATCACTATTGGAATCTAAAATGTGTGTGTCCTGGTACATATGCATTTGGGGACAGTTTATGTCCGCACGTACGAAAAAGAAAGACAAGAGGTTGACAACACGGCTGCCTTGGATATACGGGTACCCCTGCAATGCCTTACTTCTCCATCTGCTTCTGTCCCAATCCAAAATCAGACCCTGGCACTTGGGAGTCCCTGAGTTCCCAAGGGAAGATGATGAATTAAAGCAATAGTCACAACTGTGCCCCCAAAGAGGACTTTGTGGCAGTGCCCTGTGCTCAGGCATGAACCCCACCTGGCTGTGGGGGTGCTCGGGGGTGACTGCACTGCCCGGCTCTGCTGCAGTCCCATGGGAGAGCAGAATGGCTCCAGCTACTCCGCCCTTCCTCAGCCGTTGGAGAGTCCCTCTGGAGAGAGAGAATGAGCTGATATTCATTGAGTGGCAGCCCAGCACAGCCTGTACCATCACTATAAAAGAGGGGAAAGCTTTGGGCAGATGGACATGCAGATGGTCGGCGGCACTTCAAGTCTTGCTCCCTCTGCGAAACGAAGCAGCAGCAGGATGTCTGCCCACACCACCCACTGCTGCGCTCCCTCTCCCCCGAAACCTTTAAATACTTTGCCCACACCCTGAATAAGTTGCAGGGTGAGCTTTTCCCTCCTGCATCTCTAGAACCTACAGTCAGCAGCACAGATAACCCAAATCCCAGATCAGTTTACCTGCCTCGGCATATTGCATCCTCTCGGATCGATAGCCGTGCTGAAAGGCAATGCTCTAATTCACTGCAGAGTGCTTTTGGATTAATGTGACTCTGCCTGCAAGTCCTGCACTGTTTGGACTAAAAATCAGCTCCAGGGCAGTGTAAAACTCTTAACAGAGTGAATCCCCTTGTGTTTGTAGCATTGGTGAATTGACGGCACTTGGGTGGATCTGTAGGAAGCAACTGAGCGCTGGCAGAGTTGGTGCCCAAGCCCTCTGATGTCTCCTGTTTGCGGGGGAGAGAAGCCAAAGGGTGGAATATGGCCAATGGGAAAAAACCTCAACTAATTAATTAATTGCTAACCATTTAATTTCATTTAATTTTAATCTCAAACTTGTGCAATATTACTGCTGTTCGTGTGCAACTGCAGCACACTCATTCAAGCAACTCAAGAGCCATGGTCCATGTGTCTGCAAGCTCTGACCCTGACCCTGGCAGCCAGAGCCTGACTCCCAGCTCAGCAAGGTCCCACAGGCTGCTGGCTAGGGCAGGAGCCTCTGCTCACAATACAGAAATTCTGCAATTTCTCTGCAAACTGGCATGTAACCAGATGTAGGAGTGTCACACTTCTCTGTGGATTGTAAGCACGTTTGCTGTGTGGCTCTAATGACACTCAAATGCTGGTGTTGTCGACATCAAATTACCTTCTGCATTCCCCAGATTCTGTGTGAGTGGGCTGTAACGCAAAATTTCTCACACTGCCATCACGAGAGCCAGCCCAAAGGGCTTTGTAATTAAGAGCATCCTACCTACACTGGGTATAGAGAGTCCGAGAATTGCTGCGGCTGAAACATCCCATTTTCCAGTTCATTAACACAGGCTGGCTCAATCTGGCCTCGGTGCGAGGAGCTTGGGTTTGTGTACTGCTTCTCCTCTGAACTGTGTTTCCCAGCTGTTGCAGTTTAATATCCTTTTAGCCGCTCCAGCTGGTCCCCCATCAAAAGTACCCGCTTCCATCTCGTACCCTTCATAGCCAGGCCTGTTCTCCCAGGGCACAGACTGTGCTGTGCTCGCTCGAAAACCTCCTCCTCCTTCCTGCCAGAGAGCCAGGCGGCAGCTCATGCCACGTTTCACGCCTGCCACGTCACCTCTGGCTCGCTTCACCTGTGGCACGGAGAGATCGGCCGTGAAGGTGGGCTGGGGGCGCAAGGCTGGGGGCTCCCTGGTCCATACATCTCCTGGCCATGCCGTACTTTGGAGGCACCCAGGGGCTCACAGGAGACAGTGCGATAGTAAACACTGGCAGTTCCCACTGCGGCATCCCTCATCCCTGCTGCATCCCCGCCCTGCCTCCCCGAGCAGACAGAGACAAGGCTGTGAAACGGAGCTTTCCCTCCCACCATCACTGCCAGGGAACAACGTCACACATGCGTGCTCGCCCCCATACACACAAGTGCGTGGATGTGGCTGTGTCCCTCGGCTCGGCAGGGGCAGCCAGCAGCGGGCTGTGGGAGGAGGCGGGGAGCACGGGGAGCACTGGTTCCAAGGCCATTGCCCGGCGCCAAGCTGCTCCAGGCTGCTGCTCTCCTGTCAGCGCGGGGCTCTCCCGCCTCGGTTCCTTCCCATCCCAGAGCAGCACGCTGCGGGATGCGTGAGCACATACACGGCTGCTTTGCGTCACTGGGAACGGAGAACGACACATCACGGGAGCTGCGAGGACGTGCAGCCCCAAGCACTCTGCACAAAACCCCTTCCAGTGCAACCTCTCACTGGCAATTTCTTCTCCAGTACAGCCACTGGTGGGTAAGATTTCCTTCCAGTAACGAGGGCCGCATCCTCCCCACATCCACGGTGCTTTGATTGAATTACGACTAACGAGCTGGGAGCAGGGAGCCCTGCAAGGACCCTTTGGGTCTGGGTTTGCATGAATCAGCTCAGTGTATGCCTGTGGCCAGCGCTGAATGCAGCCACGTTTCCTGTCCCGGGGCGCTGCCGATGGCCTGACCCTTCTAACTGACACATGGAGAGGCCACACTTGTCCCCACAGGGTCCCCCTGCCAGCACCGGGATTCCCAGAAACACTGTCTCACAGCCCGGTCTGAGGAAATCGCTGTTTCCCATGTCCCTGCAATGCATCAGCTTGCTTCAGCGTGACCGCAGCCATGGCCCTCGCAGCCAGGGCAGCCCTGGAGGGGCGAGCATCCCTTCACACATCAGCCCTGGCCGGAGGGACAACTCACCGTTCTGCCACACAGCTAACTCACTGCTCACACGGAAACCTTCTCAAGTGGATGTACCTCTGGGCTGACCTTTCTGCTTCTTCCAGATGAGGCAACGATGAACTGTTAAAGGCAAAGCAGCTTTAGTTTGTTGTCGTAGTCTCCTGCTGAGCCAGCCCCTCTCGGAAGCCATGCTCTGTAAATGTTGGCACATTAATCCAGCAGGTTCCTTAGCCCCCAGTTCATACAATTCATACAGCCAAACATACAACTCATGCAATGTTCCCATGCTCTCAGGTGTTTCCTACTTATACACGCACCTTCAACATCAGTAGGTTTGCGTCATTTCTAAGCGGTTGGAGGTTCCCAGCAGTTTGGGAGGTTTTGGTTGGGTTCTTATTTGCTTCAACCCTCAATTTCTGGGCTGCCTACTTCTCCTGTTACTACCCAGAAGAAAATATTTCGTCTTGCATCAGAGGAAGAATTTTGTTCAGCCCAAATGGACTTCTTTTTTCCTCCTAGTTTGGGTTTGCTAATGAAATAAGTGTTTGGTTTTTTTTGGTTTTTTTTTTTTTTTTGGTCTGGCTATTGTTCTTGTTTGTGGGCATCAGAAAACAGCAAAAGCTATAATTTGAGTAATTTGCTTTCCAGTTTCCCAAATCTCTGCCTTATCATCCATCTTGATTAACAGACCCTTAAACATTTCCTCTTAACCACTAAGAAAGTTGTGAATAACACAGGGTCACAAACTAAGCCACATAGGCCTGTTCACTGACGTTTCCCAATGCTAAAAACACTTTGAAATGTCTCATTTAGCCACTTTTAGTCCATTTAATATAGATTTTATGACATTTTAAGGCAAATATTGATAGCAAGTCATATTCATTTATAAATCTACTTCACCACCACAACTCCCTCATAAAAGCACTATTAAGCTCATTAGAAAAGGTCTGTTCGTCCATTAAATCACGTCAGCCAGTATCAATTATCTCACCACCTTTTCAAACGAGCCTGCTATCGTCCACACTAACAGCGCTCCTGCACTGATCAGGAGGTTAATGGCTCTGTGCCTGTATAGCTCACCCCCTCTTAGAGTACGGCTTGCTTCCAGTCTCTTTTGATTCTAAAATGTATGAAAAATGACCACGCTTTGTCCTGAGAGATCTTCAGCCTATTCCTCCAAGAATCTCGGTGCAAGCCCCTTGCCCTCGGTTGATGTAAAACTGCATATCCCTGGGCGGGGACGTGCTGGCTGGTCTTTTGCAAGGGATGCTGAGTAGATGCTTGGACTGTCTGCTTGCAGGGAACAATTTCACCCTTGCCAGCAACCAGCTCCAAGAACTTTCACTCCACATTTTGACCCAATATACAGCAAGACAGGAATTCAGCTGCTGTTGTTTTAAACACACAGTTCTGTGTTCCTTCATGTTCTTCCTCTCAAGCTCTTTGCACTTACTCTTTGCAGCTTCCCGGGAAATCCCCCGTAGAGCCAGGAGCTGTGACGGGTGGTGGTGGGGCAGCTCAGATTGACCCCCTGAGCCCATCTCCACGCTGGCACAGTCAGGGGTCTGTGACCACCCCACATGGGGACCTCTCACCCGTGGGCCGATTGTTTCACCCAAATGTGCCCCAAGGTCCAGGGGAGGAGGAGGAGGCATAAAGGGATGCATGAGGAGGGTTGATGTGCCAGAAATGAAGATGCCTTTATGTACAACAAAACCACTCCTCGTGCCTCCTGCACCTTATCAACCCAGCTGTGCAGCGACTGTTCTACGGCTTTGAAAAGCCCAAGTTTTTAATGTGATGGAGCTATCTCCTGCCTGGACAATTCCTAGAGGATGTGAAGTTACAGGCTGCAAGGTGAAATCTCTCATTGCTGCAGACTCGGTGAGATCTGCTGTCCTAACCTCAGATGGACCTTCCTTTCTTCCTTCTCTCTTCTCTTTCCAGCAGCAGCCGAGCAGGATTGGAGCTGCCACAGCAAGGGCCCATGCCAGGGAACAAAGGCTACAGC